AAAAGTTTAAAATGAAAATTAATTTATTCAGATAATTAGAGTTACATATTTATTCAAAAAGAAAAGACTATTGGAATAGGATATTATAAATGTCCATATATTATTAGGACTGGAGAAGTGTGCAATAAGTGGTGCTATCGGCCAGAAGGGTGTAAAGTCCATTGAAAATCTCCTAGACAAATTCCATGTATAGAATGCGGAAAATTGACTTCTTCTATTTATAGTGCTTATAGGAAACATGCAGGTAAATATCGCATTTGAGATTTTTATCAGCGTCAAAAGCTTGCGAAAATTCGGGCTAGTGATGGGCTAGTGACAGGAATACAATATGTATGATCATTTATATCACTTAATTTTTTTCATATTTTGGGTACATGTTCCGCTTTGCTTTACAACCATGTAATCATATCTTGTATATGCTCCGCTTCGCTCCGCAGAATGTGAACACTATTTGTTTTCATATCTTGTGAACATGCTCCGCACCTTCGGTGCTCCACAGAGTGTGGACACTATTTGTTTTCATATCTTGTATACATGCTCCGCACCTTCGGTGCTCCGCAGAGTGTAGACACTATTTGCCCACTTATTGGCACTCATATTTGCCTCATATAATAGCATACATTAAATAAGATAGCATATGGATCAGGGATAATAGCATCCATATTAGCTTCACCCTAAAGGGCTTTACTCATTTTTCTGCTATTATCTTCTCCCGTCGAATGCGTATTTATAAGCGTCGCCCTAAAGGGCTTTGCCTACTCATACTTATTCTCCTATATTGAACGCGCATTCGTCGTCGCTCTGCTCCTCTATATGCTTGTTCTTTCTTGCTATCTAAGCAGTATGCTAGTAGGAGGCAATTTGATTAAAATATATGCGAAAAACTTATGTTATCCAGAATGAGAACCAAAAAGGTTTCGGACTTGATTGTGCCAAAGTGGGTATTTATTTTTACATATAGGAAGCAAATGTTTACTGAGCGAATACCAATCAAGAAAGCAAATTGATTACCTTAAGGTCACATGTATAATAATAATAGGTTTACGCTATATGTTAAATTTTTAATACTCAGGATAACCTTCTAGATACATTTGGGCTTTTTGTGCCAAAAAGCAAAAATTTTTTTACTACTTGGAAACAAGCGATTTCAGAATGAAAGCTAGTCAAGAAAGTGAATTAGTGATCTTAGGCTTTCAAGTATTATTTCATTAGGAATTTGATATGAGAAATTCGATATATGAAATTGTAATACCCAGGATGACCTTCTGAAGGCATTCGGGCTTTTTGTGCCAAAAAGCCCATTATTATACTACTAAAGACAGCTACAAAATGTAAAGTAATTACATATAGAAGTTCAGTTTCAGATACAAATGGTTTGATGGTAAGTGTAATAGCATAATTTATACATGATTTTTATTATTATATTTATTAACATTTTCATATATAATTATATTTTTAGGTGGGTGAAAATGAAACAGAATCAGCATTAAATATAGCTAAAAAAAATTTATATATAAATCTTAAAAAATGCCTTTTTCATATTTAAAGATGTCTAATAGTAGAAGATGGTTAATATTTAAAGTTGAATAGTAAATTAATTACACTATGAGCTAGTGCTATGGTAAATAAAGATTGTATTATAAAATCTAATCTTTTTAGTCTACTATATTATTATAATAATTTATTATTTATATAGGTAAGCCAAATAAGGATATAGATGAAAATACATCACCACCAATGCCAATTTTTGATAAAAATAAATACTGATTTCCAAACTCTAAAAAAGTTTTAACTACAGAGATTTTAGATTCAGGTAATATATTATAATGAGTTTATTGATTTTTTTTTTAATATAATATAATATACATGATTCTTACATTACTAGTTTTTTTAGTTTCATTTATAACACAATCAAATGATATTATACAATCAAATATCATTACATAACCAAATATTATTATAGCAGTCAAATAGTGTTACACAATCAATACTTCATTCAATAACCCTTCATCTTAGAAAAAAATCACCTTTTAAAGAAAATATTCATGTAACAAAAGGCATGACCTTTTCTGATCTTATTAATTTTGTTTTTCCTGCTAGACCATCAAAAGATAAATGTTTTATTTTTAAATCATCTTTTGAGACAGGTGGAAAGCAATTTTTACCTGAATAGATTATGCATGATACTTTTTATAAGGAATATGCTAATATATGGATTGATATGGAAAAAATAATTTCAAATTATGATGATCTTTTTGATTAAATTCTTAACAATTACATGTGCACATATGCTATTGTAAATAATAATAAATTTAAATAAATCAAATTATATGTTGAAAGTATTGTTTACTATATTTTTATAATTTTCATTTATTATATAATTTATTTTTAAAATAATAATTATAAATATCCAGCATGTTCAAAACATACTTTAGCCAAAGTCTTACCAATCATCATATAATTAAAATTTAATGCATCTACTAGATTTTCTACAGATTCTATCCAATCGCGATGTTGACGTAAATAATTTTTGATATAAAAAAATGCTTGCTCAATCTACAATAATACAATCAATTAAAAATTATAATATCAAATGAAATAACTAAATTCTTACATACTGGATTGTAATCAGGAGAATAGGGGGGTAAAAATTCAAGTCATATTCCTTTTTCTTCACAAATATCTCGTAAGTATTGACTCTTATGTATAGATGCATTATCTAAAATTAAAACACTGTATTGTGCAGGATATGGTAACATTTTTGGCAGCTTATTATAAAGAATACATTAAATGTGTTAAATTTTATATTTGCTTTAGCATGAAAATTTGTTAAAAAGAACATACCAAAATATTTTCAATAAAATATTCATAATCATTAGATTTCATCAATCCTTCTTGAATGCTATATGCTAATAGGCCATTTACACACAATGCACCTTCAATTGTAAATTTCTGTCCTCTAATAAAAAATGTAGCTTTTCTTGCACAATGTTCACTAATATTCCATCCATATCAGTGTAATAAAGTTCTCCTATCATAAGTTAATTCATCAGAAAAAACTAATTGATCAGATGAATACTGAGATATACGTAAAATAAATTCTGCACGTTCATTTTCTTTCCTCTCCTGGGCGGGTTTAGATAACTACAATACATAGTATATATAATGATTAGAATATAAATAATAAATGCAAAATATTATTGTTATAAATATTTAGTTATACTTGTTTATGTGTATATCCAAGGCGATGTATTGCTCTCTATATTATATTGAGATCAAGGCTTCGTTCTAACCAAAGTTCCATTTGAGATTGCAATTCCCAAATATACCAATCTACTTTTTCTTTGAGAAGTACTTCAAGATATTTCATATCATCATTTCCAAAAATTCTTGGTCTTCCACGCAAAGTTAAAATATTTTTTACACATCCGTATTTTTTAAAAAGGTAATAAACGCGGTGTACAGTAGATTTGCTAATTCCTAAATTTCTAGCGATTTGGCGTTCTGATAAACCTGCCAACGGGTATGCGTAGATAGTTTAATCATGACAAAAAAAAAAAAAAAAAAAAATAAAGTCCGTATGTTTGTTTGTTGTTTATTTAACCGAATTATAATGTATTACATAAACATTCATATAAGGAAATACTGTCGATCAATTGTATGAAAAAATTTATCTCCGGAACAAAAATAAACCGAATTATTAGCTGTAAACGGAAATACAATTTTAGTAAAGGTTTTTGATTTATGAATTCGGATGATCTGAATTACTAATAATACGTGATGCGAACGGCAAAATAATGTAACGTGTTTATCAAAGCTGATCAGCGAATATTAGATATAAATACTTGTAAAATTTTCTTATCGTATTTTCTAAGGAAAAAAAAAAAGAAAAGAAAAAATGCTTGATTCGATTCCGCTAATTAGTTATTTTGTTTTATTAGCTATTGGTTGGTTTACTTATAAAACATATATTTATCCATATTATATTTCTCCTTTGAGAAAAATTCCTGGTCCGCCTTCTGACAATCTTATTTATGGAAATCTTAAAGCATTTTTCATAGAAGAGGTAGGTTTATTTTAATTAACGTAATTTATTACTAAATTGACACGCATACACATATACACATATATATATATTTTTAAGGCGGGTGAAACACATATTAGATGGGTAAATAAATATGGAAATCTTGTCAAATATTATGGATTATTGAATCAACCAATAATTATAGTTACGGATGCATCAATAGTACAAGGAGTTACTTTCAGTAATGGATATGATTTTTATAAATCAACATATTTAAGGGGAGATGCTGCAAATATTACCGGTCATGGTGTCGCTTTTGTAAACGGAGAAGTTCACAAGAGACAAAGAAAAATGATGAACCCTGCTTTTACTCATCATCACATTAAAGTACGTATCTAAATTGTGATAAATGTAATTAAAACAAATTATTAAAGTTTTCTTTTTTAGAATATGATTCCAACCTTTTCTCGCGTAGCCCTTACATTAGTAAATTTGTTAGAAGATCAAGTAAATAAAGGAGTATCGAAACTTGATATTAGTTCCTATATCTCTAAGACTACTTTAGATATAATTGGCTTAGTTGGTAAGAAATAAAGTTTTTATAAGTACATATATATGGATCTTATATAAATTTCTTAACAATTTACTTTAGGATTTAATCACGAATTTAATTCATTAACGTCTCCAAGTGATTTAGCGGAAGCTTATGGATCTTTTATCGGATTTGCAAAAAATCCTTTTCTAAAAGTGATTATCAGTAATTTAGCTCTTTATGTCCCATTTATTAGAAAAATACCTATAGATGAAAACAAAAGATTTAATAATGCATGCAAAGTTATTGGAAGTGAATCGGTAAAGTTGATTGAAGAAAAATACCAAGATGACAAAAACAACAAGTTGAATGGAACTGATTTATTATCCATATTAATAAAAACCAACAAAACTTTACCTATCGAAGATAAATTGACAGATCTCGAGCTGAGATATCAGGTAATTAGAAAATCTTTTTATTTTTATTTATTTTTTTTTTTTAAAAAAAAAAAAGATTGCGTTGCAATTGTATTGAGAAACTTTTATTTATTTCGTTGGATATTTTAGATTATGACATTTTTGATCGCAGGGCATGAAACTACAAATAATTCAACAAATTGGGCTTTATACCTACTTGCACAACATCCTAACGAACAGGAATTATTGCGTGAAGAATTAGTTAAAGCTTTTCCTGATAAATCAAAATTTAATCCCACTTTAGATGAAATTAATTCTTTGGTATATTTGAATTGCGTAATTAAAGAAACATTAAGGTTATATCCTCCAGGTATAATTTTCAAATTTTTTATAAATTTTGGAAACTGATATAATAGTATATTAAACGCAATTTTTTCATTGTAGTTCCATCTTTTCGACGAAAATGTATCAAGGATAAAATGTTTGGAGAAATCTTCATCCCAAAGGTATTTTAATTAAATTACATAATTGCTTAAAAAAGATTAATTTAATGATAATACTTCTTTGTTTATTAGGATACTATAATTGATGTTCCAATTTTAGCGCTTCATAAACTACCTTCAATATGGGGACCAACGGCTGATAATTTTGATCCAAAAAGGTGGTTAGATCCTTCGTTAACTGAAATTGTAACAAACTATAATTATTTGCCTTTCGGAACCGTGTTAGATCCTGCATAGGTAACAAATTGGCCTTAAATGAATTTAAAATATTGTTAAGTACGCTTGTTAGAAATTTTGCCTTTCAAACAGTTGAGGGATTTCATATTAAAAAAACAGTTGGATTACTTATTAAACCTATGCCATATCTCAAATTGACGGTTTCTAAAGTTGAAGTTTAATAGGGATATTAGACCACGAACATTAGCAATTTAGGTCACGGGTCTTCTTTTAAATTTTAACCAAAAAAAAGTTTTTATGTAAAATTTTATGAAATATAATTTTATTAAATCGAATATTTATGGTATTAACACTTTATAATAAATTAAATTAGTCCTTGGTTTACTTAATTTTTTATATTTCTTTTTTGTACATTCTCAACCAATCACATCGGTCAATTTTAAAATTTTTTTTAAAATTTTAATGTTACGTATCATTCTTTATAGAAAATCGGCGTAGATTATGTGGTACCACCCTATAAAAATTTTTTTTTTTTAGTTTTGTTCTGTCGATCCTAATTAAACTTACTGGTCAAAGTAAGTTATATTAATGGAGTTCGTTGTGTTTTATTATTAATTGGTGCCTCTTCATTTATAGATTTCTGCACCTCTTCATTAAAAGTTGAGTTTTTAATAATTTTCAAGGCGTATTTTATTTGCTTTCTTTAATTGGAACCGGCGTTTATATGACTTGTATATACCATTCTTTATGTTAAAATTAGATGTACAACTTTAACCATTCTGCTTTTTAAGAAAAATATTATATAAATATTATTTATACAACCTGATAAACAAAGTTACGAAGTCACTTGTTCCATTCAATATAAATTTGGTTTAAATCAAATTTTACGAAGAAGAATTTTAAATCTAGAAAGTTTAGTGGTTAATGTAAATAAATGCTTCGTAACTTTGTAATCATAGTTCATAAAAACTAGCTAATACCAAATAATTGGGAGAGAAGTTGTTTTTCGATCTGGGCATCTAGATTATCATTTATATATTATTGATATTATGTTAACAAATTCTCAATCAAAAGTTTTAATTTAAGTTCAAAGTTAGATAACCACATATAGTTTTGATTTACTTAGGTGACTGAGCTACGTGCAAACATTAGTTTTTCCAATTAAGAATCTCCCGAGATACTGTAAATTCTTCATAAAATAAATGATTAGTACCTATATCGAATTAAATTATAGCTATTCTTATTAGCCGATTTAAGGATTATACAGTATGATCATTTTTCTCATATCTGTTTTCATAATTTATATTTAGATAAATTATTTCTATTAAAATTAATCGTAATTTCAGTTAAAAAATTACATCGGATGATCCTGCAAAACTTAAATCATTTACAAGTTTGATTCAAGATTTTTGCTTTATATATTTCAAGATTGTTTTTAGTATTTTTTAATACATTAGTTTTTCAGGTAAATATATAAAGGTTATATTGAACAAATCTAGGGTGAAGTTAATAAGTTCCTTGCTGTAAAGAATGAGATGTTAAAGCATATTTATTGGTAGTAACATTGTGTGTGTATTTTCCGAGATAATTTTGATTGAGACGTCATCAATTTGCTCAACTTTTCAATTATTTACGGCATCAATGTAGCCTCGTCAGCTTCATCATTTGTTTCATATTTCCTTCAAAATATGAATTTGTACAAGTTTACCTTTCGAAAGATTTAAAGGAAGGTTTTGCCTCAAGTTAATTTGAATAATGTAATTTTAAAATAATGAATGTGGGCATTATTTACAACAATAATAATACGATAATTTATTTCAAAAAGCAGATAAATATAAAAATCCGGTAAAACAATTTTAAAAGTTACATAGCGATGATTTATCATCCTTCGTATGATAAAATCATTTATCAGAGTTGATATTTTGCTTTGAGCTTGTTGTCGACAATAATGGTGCAACCTTATTGTCTAAAAATTCACGACTTAATGTTTGTATAGAAAAATAATAATGCACAATAAAAAAAAAAATTTACCGAAAATTTTTATATAAAATCTTATTAATGACTTAATTTTTTCATGATTCTTAAATATTTGGGTTAAAGGTTGATTTAAATATCGATAAAAAGAGCGTAAAGATATAGATGCACATTAGAAAACACTTATAGAAGGTGATTATTTAAGTCGAATTAAGGGAATAATTCTTCATTATTAATTCATAGCGATTTTCAATAAAACAAAGAATCTACAAAAAAATTCCGCCAACTTATCTTTACATCACCTCCTACACACAATGAAGAGACAAATCTTTTTAGAATCGAATTTTCATCTTACGTATGTTGATGAATGGTGGCAAATTTTTTTTTAAAAAAAAAAAAAATTGTTTGTCTTTTTCAACCATTATTTTTAAATCGTTTGATATCGATCTAATTTGATTACTAACAAGCCAAGAAGATACAAACAATATGTACAATAATCTATTATATGAAGTTACTTATTTATAGAGAACTTACTTTTGTTTCTGCTAATCCGTATTCATTCCCAATTTAAGAAATAAAAATTCGAATATTGAAAATATTTTTCTTTAGGCGTTAATATAAATTATTACCAAGGTTGAATTAGATTATTCAATTGTCGAGTTTCTGATTTTCATTCTTGTTTCTTCAAAATATATGTAAACAACACCATTTGAAGTAAAGATATCAATATACTATAATAAGGCAATCAGTATTACGTCAGTCATCTCTACCGGTTCTTCAAAGTTAAGGAGCATTTCTGTATCATAGATGTTCTGAATTCGATGCTATGTCAATTATTATAAAGAGTAAATGTAATCTTATATCGTTCCCAGCAATTATTATTTAAAAAAGAAGTAATATAATTTCTTTATTATAATAAGTAAGATAAAGGAGAACTATGAAGATTGAACCGTAAAAATAAATAATCTGACCTATTAAAATTATATCATTTGCAAGCTTTTATTTATTTAGATGTTTTAATTTCTAATATAAAAAATTGTAACATTTAACAATACTAAAATCCCATATACATGAATGTAATCTACACTAAAAATTGCATTTCCGTTTGAGTAATTAACGACATTGGAATTGATTAATATCACAATTGGTATTATGTTTTATATTCCAACCAGTACTTTCATTATTTGAACATATATCAAAGGTATCTCGAAGGAACTTAGGTTCTTTTATCTGACTATCAGAGGCAGCCATTACACAGCTATTGGTATGATTTCCGAGTGTTGGACAATAAATATGACCAGAATCACAAGGTTGTCCGCAAAATGAAGGTATTGGGTCACATATTTCAACATTAAATTTTTGTAAGGTATCGCTTATTATTGATGCCGCCATATTGTTATATGTATTTCGTTTAATAGAATGATATATTTCATCTTCATCGCCAATTAATTTATCATAATTCACCCCTTGATTAACAGTAAAACTAGCTAATATTGACTTGTTTGCAGTAAAAAAATTATTGTGCAATGTATCTTCAAAATGAAATTGGAAATTTTCACTTGCTGCTGATAGATATGATGAAATATCTGGATAGACTTGACCATTTCCGGTAAATGATTGATGAACATTGTCCATTAAACTTGGAAGAAAGTATATATTCACCATGTTCGCCGTAAAAAACCCTATATTATCAATCGTATCCCTTTTTACGAATCCGTCGAACCTATTCAAAGCAGAAAGGATTTGTGCCATATTCGGGTTTTCTGATTCTTCATAGAAACTTGCCATATCATCTATTGTGGTATATCCATCTCTAATGTTTTTTAACTCTCTGTACTTTTTTGAAAGTTTTTCTGCAACTTTAACGATCTTATTAATGTACGCTTTATTTCGCCAACCTACCGCTGCATTTCTGGCTAACGTTCCTTCAGCTGAAGTTGCTATAACATCATCTGCAGCACCAATTTCAGCACCAAGTTCGGACATTTCGACGACGGTTGATTCTGCCACTACCTCTTCGGTAGCTACAATTTCGCCAGCTACACCTCCCACTAGACCTACCACAGCAAAAAGAACAATGCCAGCGACTATAGGAACTAAAATCTCTTTGATCAAGTTTTTTTTAGGCGGTGGCGGGGGCGGTGGTTGCAATTTTTTAGTTTATCGGTATTCATTTTAATACTTAGCTCACTAAGGGCATCATGGAACCCTCGATGATGCTTCTCCCAATAATTGAATAACTTGTTTGCCGAATTAATCATGTGATATGTAGCAACATCATAATTATCAGGCATGAAAGAGCTGTTTGAACCGAACTGAAGAGATGCAGCGTATGTTCCAACTTCATTACCAGTCAAATAATCAATGCATTCGGCTACATGTTCTGTTTTATTAATTGTAATTCCAGGTAAATCGGGGTGTTTACCTTCTCTACAATATTGTGCAGTTAGGTGAGTTGGAAATACATGATCTTTATTAGGTGTTTTTCCCTTATATGTAATTTTAGGGGTCGGAATAAGTTTTATAGTGTAATTACTTAAATTACATTTGTAGTTATTAATGTTATTTTCAGTATACGTTGAAACAGAAAGATCATCTCTTTTTAATTTCAGCATAAAGCTGAAGTGACAATCATAGGTACACCCCCACATAGTGATGTTAACAGTAGTTAAGGGTGGCTCATGCTTTACAGTTTGAACATCCCTGACCAAAAGAGACTTCGAATAAATTACGCCATCTTCGTCAATATGGACAGCCGTACGATTAGAAGGTATGTTTATGTCGCACATTTTAAAATCATGTTCTACGGTGATCCAATCTGCAAGAACTGCCGATAACAAATGTAATAGAATGTATAATAACGTTTTCTTCATGAGTGAAATGTATTTTCTTTTTTTCCTTGTCGAAAAATCAGGTAGACCTTATATACTGTATATATTACCTCGGATAAACACAGGTGAGATCGTTATCAATTCTTATTTATTTCTTTTATTTTTAATTATATAATGAACTCCAATATTTAATCTTGTCGATTTCAATATCATTTGATAATAAAGGCGATGATCCAAAATTAATTTTCGAAATGTAATGTGAATCAAGCCTCATAAGGGTTTTTACTCATGGTCATAATGTGGAGAAGCTCCCAAATTCAGATTATTCTTTTTCCCTTCTATGTATTATTATCATTTTTTTTTTATTTTACATTGTCGTGGTCTTCCCTTTTTTTCCAGAAGAATAAACTTATTATTAAAATGAATCTATAAATAAACTTTTTATGATAGTTTTCCTAAAAAATTACTTAATTGGTATAAAACGCGATGTAGTATTTTAAACCTATTATATCAATCAATTTTATATTTAATATAATTATTAAGATTTTTTTTTAGAATTTTTGATAATTATAATCAAAAATTCAACATTCAATATTTCTATTATCTTTGCCATTTCAAGTCTTATTAATTTTTTGTTCGATAGAATCCCATTTATTATAGGGTCCATTATTCCAAACTGTTTTATAAAATTACAGAGTAAACACCTTTAATTAAATATTCAATATTTTATATATTAAAAAATTAAATAAATTAAATAAAAAAAAAAAAAGAATGGACCGAAGAAAAAATATATATCGAAAAAAACCAAAATACAAAAAAAAAAAGAATGAAATACGAAAAAAATAAAAATCGATCGATAAGATCGATCGAATTGACGATATTCGAAATCAATTTCGATATCCGAATCATTTCGATATCCGAAATCATTTCGATATTCAAAATATTAATTATATATTTTCGAATATTTGAATTTTATTTATTTACAAACGAATATTCGAACATACTATTTTCAAACGGAAACCCTAACATTCATCCCACAAGGCTGGTACAATGATAAGAAAGATAAAGTAATGAATTCGTCGATCAAATGTAACATTTTATGTATTGAAACAACAAAAGAACTTTCTACCCAACAAGAAAATATTGGTCATATTGACAATATGATTGTTAAGTAAACACCTGGTCATTATGCTCCGCGTTGTTCAAATGTTTGATAGTTTATCAAAATTCAATTTTTTTTTTTAATTTATAATATGGGCGGGTGAAATCGCCTGGGTGAGCAAAATTTTTTTCTGGATTTACATAATGAATTTGTTGCTTAACCGTTTTGGATTTTTTATTTCATTCACGCTACAATTAATATAGCATTCGTATTGATAGTAAATTTGCACTGACCTAGATAAGGCGTATATATTTAGAAAAACAAGCAATTTACTCTGACAAATCTCTCTCAAACGAAGAAAATCGAGGCAATAAAATTATTATTGTGAAAATTGCAAACTAGAATGTTTCACCTCTGTGATCATTGTATTCGAAGTTATTTAAAAGCAAAATTTTTAGAATGGACATCTGGAAATAATAAAATTGATTAGTTAATAAACGGATCCCATACAATAATCTTTTTAATTTTTTTTTTCGTAATTTTTTTTTTTTTTTTATATATTCTTTTCGAAATGATTTTCGATATTTGAAATTAATTTCGATATCCGAAATCATTTCTATATTCGTTTGAAGTTATTTTAAAAAACTTTCAAATATTTGATATGAAATTTGTATTTCAAACGGAAACCCATGAGTGTAATATGAAAACTGTCACTTTTTTTGAATAAAACATAACTCGAGAAAAATTTCTACGTACAATGCCACGATTAATAAGCCATAGGCAAGTGCCTATCCATTCCTGAGTTTAATTCTAAGCATTTCCTTGGCTTTCTTCATCTTTATGGTCATCTTCACTATCATACTCATCGAGAATTTCAACAACTTCATTTAAGTTCGGTTCAGAGGGGTTAAAAGGAAAAAATGTCTTTATTAGTTTCCATTATAAGAGAGTAACATAATATGTTTATAAAAAAGCTATTGAAACAGTTTGAGAAAAGTGAGGTAGAGTTTATTACGAAAAGAGAAGAAATCGTTGAAAAAAAAAGGGTATGAAGAGAGGAAAAAGCGTGTGATGAAAAGTGATCGTGTTGAATTTTAATTTGACCGATAGATATCACGGTCGAAATTTTGGTTCACTCTCCCATATACGTCAAGTTAAAATAAATAAATAGTGTACCTTCGCTCATAGTCCCGGTGACACTATAGCATGCATTTCGTATTTGTGTTACACAACAGAATTTTCCCTCCTCGAACCTTTAACGACTTTTATTCTGCGGTCTGACAGAAAAAAAATTTTTTTTTTTTATCGACATTAAATAGATCATATAAAGGCTGAACTTTAATCTCAGTTGAGCTTACTAGATAAAAAATAATTTTCGGTCTCAAAAACGATATTCAATCGTTCTTCATTTTTCAAATTCTAGAAAAAAAATATTACATCTTTTGTAAATTATATAAATTAAACCAATTCGCGCAATAATAAAAAATATTCCTGTCATATAAATTTTAAAAAAATAAATGGTGCTAGTCAAGGATTTTTTCACCTATAGTGGATTGTAAAATTCCATCTTACAAATTTTAAAAGAATTCGTCGTGATTTATCAAAAAGTTAACAAATATTGATTACATTCACTGATATTTAATCTTTTCGTTATTTAATAAATTTGGATCATTCTTTTCAAATTTCTAATTAATTATTCAGCTATCGATGCATTTTACAACAAGTATGTTTTTCATTGAAAGTTATGGATTGGTTCTTATCTTGCAGAACATCCGAATTTATAATGAAAATAAAATTATCAATTGCACGCCGCTTAATTGCTGACGCGTTAAATTATTTTATAAATTCACAAGCTTGTCTGCGGATAATGATTTAGGGACAGATCTAATGCATGTTTTGTACCATGAGAAAAAATATATATATGAAAGTTTTGGTTAAAAATTGCCATGAGAAAATGCTAAATGAGAACAAAGCTCCAATGTACAACTGGTTTGTTTTGAAAGAGCTTATGATGCGTTTATATATTTGGATAAATACAGAAATTAAAAGGTAAATTTTTTATTCTTGTCATTGAATTTAGTAAGTAATGCAATAATCAATGATGTATTTTCCTGTGAAATTCTTTTCAAATAGAAATTTATTACTTTGCAACTTGATTTTTTATTTGAGTCAAATAACTCGGCTTATTAAAAAAAAAAATTTATCCAAAGTACTGTTTCCTTTTTTGGAAATGAATTTCGCAGAATTTATCCACATGCGAAAAATAAATACAAGTCGGGTCATACAGGATGTTTTGTGCTAATATACATGTGAAGCGACTTACTAATTATTCCTTAATAATTTTTAGTCCTTTTGCTACGCGTTTACGATCTAACTATCATGAACGGATTTTTGCAACCTTCTCGAAATTCATCCTGTTTTCACCCTTCTGCACATGGTACATGGTTTCCGAAATTGTTGCTTCGACAGATTGAACGTTTGGGACCACAAGATGACACGTGCTTTTGGTATTTCTTTCGTCCGCCAAAACCGATTCTGCAAGCGAAAATTCTTCCTTTCCTGATCTGTTCCACCCATGAAACTGTTTACAGCCGAAGAGGCTTTAGAACACCATTAATAGTTGAAGACGAAATAGAGATAGATGATGACGGTGCCGATGATGATGCCGATGATGGGAATCCTAACGAAATGTATAACTCGTTTGGAGAAGATCGCAAACTTTGAAAGAAATGTGTGAAATCGTTTTTACAACCCTGCTTACATCCAAAATTGAACTTAACATCCATAGGAATAATAGTCTCGTGGAAATCCGGTCAGAACGATCGAAAATTTATCGGAACCGGACTGACCTTGATCGGGCTATTGGTTGCGAGGTAAGATTTGATTGATTATTTTACTTATGTTTGCATGAAGCGAATAAAAGGATTGACAGGTGAAACTTACCTCCTTTTTTATAATTTATAGCAAAGAAAGAAATAAATCGCATCACGAAGATCTTTTTTCTCACATTCTAGGTTGTGACACGGATAATTGGAAGGTGTTTCAGCTCATGTTAGTAGATCAACCTGGGATGTCTTTCCTCGCTTCACCTTATATCTCTTGTCAAAGACCCGTGTTGATCGAAGGGAGCCGGAAAAATAGATCAGTATCTTGATGGCGTATTTCAAGAAACTAATCAAGTATAAATCTTAGGTACCCCTTTTTTATTTATAGCATCTAAACCGCGTGATATCGGAATTGGCAAATGTTATCAAATCACGAAAATCCTCCAGCTCCTACGTCAAGAAATTTTCCTAATCTCTTTCGACGCATTTCAGGTGATCAATCTCACATGAAATTCTTTCATTTCATGTCTTTTGATCAGATTTATATACTTTTGCAGATCTCAAAATTATCAGATTAAACTATAGTCAAAATGTCTGCAGCATTCACACCTGAAGAACTCTTTCGTAAAAAACTCGATGCAATACTTCCTTCTCATTACAATCTGGACAAGGAAAAGCATGAAGTAACACTTGTTGAAGGTTTGAAGACTTCGAAGAACTTGCGACAATATTCTCTTCTTTTAAATTGGATCTAATTGATGGTAAAGTTGTAATAATGCTTGTCCATGCACAAGCTGGTATGTACCATGAGCTGGAATGTCGATAAGCGTTCCTATTCCATGCTGAATTATGATAATAAAAAATAGGTCAAAGCAGTGATGGTAAGTGACCCAAATGACCTCAAATGACTCAAATGACTGGTCATGTGTCATTTGGGTTATTTCAACATTAAATGACAAATGAACAAATGACCAGGTCATTTAAAAATTATATCATGTGATCTCAATAATTCTGGCCAACATAATTATGTTTCGAACATTTTCATTCTGGCCAGCATATAAAATTTGCTTGTATTACATTTAAATGACCAAATGACAAATGACCTCAAATGACCAGGTCATTTGAAGGTCATTTCAAATCGCTAAATGACCTGGTCATTTGTCATCATTGGATCAAAGAGTGTCTCATCTTATATATGAAGTTACCGAACTTGTTGGACTAATTGGAAATAGTCGAGTATGTCTTGTAATATTATGAAAACTTTTCTTACGTTCGCTCTAATATCATGTTCTTTTAAAATATGACTAACCATAGACATATTATACTTTACTTTTGCCTCCTACAACTGATCGAGGTCCTGATGCTTCCGTTGTTCTCGCTACAAGGTTTATCATTTTATGTTTCATCATTTTTTTAACTTTTTTATTACAGATGGAACGCGTTATCATCTAATGACCTAAATGAGACGTCTCCCTCGGTCGCCCCAAATTTTGTCGCGAAGGTACGTTCAGCTAGTGATACCGAGAATTATAACCACGAAAAAATATGTGGAAGCCGGTGTTAAAGTAAGTGATAATGGTTGATTATGTTTTTTTGCTATTAATCATTACAGTTATTTTTATAGGAGGATATCTTAATCGATCCAATCAACCAAAATGTAACAATTTATCGAGCTCATGGAAACGAATTGTCTGGAATGTGCTAAGAAATCCTCGAACTACAACTTCTCGAATTCTTAACGGATTCGTGCTAAATTTACGGCGGGGTATTATTTGAAAGTTAGATTTGTAATATGGAACCGGTTTATTTTTAACCGGTAAAAGATTTTTTTAACCGGTTAAAATAAATGAATTTAACTCCGGCCAAAATTCAATATCCGGCCATAATTAATATTTTAATGATTGCAAAAATATGTCTAAGTCCGGCCAAATTTATAATTCTGGCCTAAACGGTTAACTAACGGTTAAACAATAATTTGACGACCGGTTAAAGATTTTTAGTCTAATTCAATTAGGGTTCGATCGGTCCGGTCCAAAAAGACCGGTCTTTCATCTTTCTTCGGACCGGACCGGTCCATAAGTCAGTCCAAGGACCGGTCCTAAGACCGGTCTTGTACAGTACCATTCGTTCTTACCAGTCCGGTCCGGTCCAAGATTTGTTTTCTTACCAGACCGATTATAAGATTGGCCAAGGATCGGTTTAGGACATATTAGAAAAAATATTATCAATTTAATTGTATAAATTTAATAAATAAAAAAGTATCATTGCATACGAAACGATTACTCGCCTTCTTAATCTCGTTATTTCTCCATTTCAATTTCGGACATTATCGTTACAGTAAAATATTAGGACAGGTCCAAGGGCTGACTTATGGACGGACCGTTCCATAAGAAAGATGAAACCAGGGTCGATCCAACTCTAATTTTTTAATATTTTATAAATAAAATTAAATTTAATATATAAATAATAAGGACCGGTCCGGTCCAGTCCTCAGAATATGGACCGTGGACCGCAGGACAGGTCCCATTAACCGGTCTAAGACCGGTCTTATCAGGACCGATCCATTCCTAAATTCAATGCAAAACAAAAAGATTTTTTGTCATTTTTCTATTTACTGTATTTACTGCGAGACTATAGTTGCCTGGCAAAACTCTCGGGTTTCGACAGGGTCACAGCAAAATAATATTTTATATGTGGGATGAAAGTAAAAAATAATATTCTTATCGTGTAATTTATAAATAAAATTATGCGCGACTGTAAATGCATTAAAATCACAACTAAAATTTCGAACATTGAATTGTATTAAACCAAAATTGGTATAAGTATATGTAATGTGATAAAATATTTTGCGAAACACATAATTAAATAAGAAAAGCCCGAAATGTGGAAAAATAAAGGCTTTATTATACTCTCTTTAATTGATAAGAAATTTTGTTTACGCTTAACTGTTATGCTTTTATCTGGAAACTTATGGTACGACTTAGATTTATTTTCTATAATTATTTTAAAAAAAAAATTTTTTTTTTTAATTCCCTCCAGAACTAGCCAATAAGAATGAATCATAAACAATAGAAAATTTTAGATGTTAGGGGTTGATGTGCTCGAGATATAAGCTGGTGTAGTATTCGGACTAGGTAGCATTGGAAGTTTTACAGTGGAAGTATTTTGCAGTCAATCAAGAAGCAGCAAAAGAAGCAGCTTATAAATACTTATCGAATATAATTATGTCTTCGGAAATGCATGAAAGGACCCTTCAGGTTATAAGAGAAAAGTTGAATACGAACCACCGGAAACGCAAATGATAATGGAAAGTTATCGATTCTCCGAGTAAGAAGCAAAGAAAGTAATTACCAAAATGTCAACAAGCTGTTACAGCAATAAATCAAGAAGCGATGCAGGCTATTCTTGATTCTAATCAGTAAAGAAAGGTGCTAGGATCATAATTCTTGGTAAAGACTACATCAAATAGATCAAAGAATACAATGCGTAATATGAGTCAAAGAGAAAAAACTCAACGGTACGTCAGAATCTTCAAATATATGGGTGAATTGTTTTTTGGTATCCTGATGAAGCTTAAAAATGTGTAGCAGTGATGGCACCCAACGTATTTTATGTTAAAAGTAATGAGAATGCACCAATAGAAATCAAAAGGAGAATTTCTAGTATAACAGATAGATGTACCTCAGTAGCAAAAGGAATCCATAGCACAATATTATCCTAGCATTTGTATATCTTTGTTAATGAAAATAAATGGATTTTATCGAATATCAGTTCAGTAATTGGCGTTCTTGGAATATGGTAATTCCGATGAAATCTATTATAAGTGAGATTTTTTTTTGTGTTATGATCATTCCGTCTAATTTTTATACTTTTTTTAAATTTTATTTTTTAACAATTTTATTTTTTTTTCCTTTCTAATTTCAATTTAGCCGAGAAGAAAGTACCATATGAATTTTGATTGGTTAATGTTGCAGAAAATATTAAGAAATTGCCGGACTCAACAAACCAATAAAAGGGAATTTAAGGATTGGTTAAGGAAGAACATTATTATGACAACTATAATCACAATATTATCGATGATAGATATAGTAATGTTGAAATTACTTGTCAGTAAAATTACATATTTGTAGATTTTAATAATGTAGAGGATATTTTCTAGCTTTTTCCTGGAATTATTTTCTTAAACCTTTATATTATTTAATGCTGCTTTTTATAACGTCAGCTTGAGATATATTTTTATTAAATTTAATATTATTTTTATTTTTTTTAGAAAAGTTCATTCCACCTTTTAAGTCAGTTTTATGAAATTGGGAGTTCTCCACATGTTCTTCAAATCCAGTATTTAGATATGATTAACATTGATCATGAATTGATCTAACGTACCGTATATTAGTATATACGTCCCAATAAGGTTATTGTGCAAAAGGTTTTGACAGGTGGCAAAAGTATTGACAGATGGCAAAACCCATCAAAATCTTCTGATACTAAAATACAAATTTATGAATTTAAAAATTTATTATTTTTGTTTAACGAGATGAGAAAATCGTATATAGCAAAGATCACTTTCTTTTATAATATCATATATTTATATATTTATAAAGGATTAAAAAAAATCAAAAAATTTACATATTGATCATCAAATCCAGTTATATCATTTATCTCCCATATTTTCTTCATTTAAACTCAGACAGTATTCTACTTCATCCATTAAACTTTCAATTGAAAAATCATCTGAAGCCGAAAAATTATCCCGAAAATCAGTTAGAATTAGTTTTGAACTTTTGCTTAACGATTGATAGTGAACCTAATTTAAGTTTGTTCCGCGATTTTGAAGGAATTATTGAAGAATATTCGCAAGGCAGGACAATTAATTGGTCCAAGTCGGCCTTGGCTTTGATATTTTGATATTCGAAATCAAAAACTTATATTTGAATTTTTTGTAACGAATATTCAAATATACTATTTTAAAGCCAAACCCTGGGTCATATATTTCAATTGTATAATGAATAAATTGTTGGAGTTACTTATATCGAATATTCTTTTTGAATTATTACAGGGATATCCTATAAGATGTTAGGATTTTATTTATTTTTGACTAATTTATTAAATCTGCATTGTATGTTTTTGTTTTCCAGTTTTATTTAACTGATATATAATGAAATTATTTTGAAACTAAAGGAAGATAAAAAGGATGGGTGCTTTGTCGCCACTGATTTTCGAAATCACGCGTCTAAATAGAATACTTTATTCAGAAAGTGTCCAGATACAATGAAGCCAAAGGTTATAATTTAAGTATGAAGTCTAATTTGAATTTAAACCATCTAGACATAGAAAAGAAAGATTCATATTCAATCATAATCACGACTTTTCCTTGTGACTCGGCCACAATTAATATTATATATAGTCAATTAGTATAAATGTGACACAAAGAAGCAAATTTTTAAAAAAAAAATATTCATTTCTGAGTGATCGATAAGCTGCGCCACAAACGTAACTAATTTTGATTAACCTGCGTCTCACTTGAAAGACGCAGATTTGTTTGCATCTTGTATCCCTCCTTATTGAAACGTTTGATATTTTTTTATTCGTGAAACTTTAAATCATTAAATCATTCAAATTATCCATATTCATGATGACTAAAATAGACAATATTTTTCGGAAACATATTTGAGGTTGTATTGCAATTGTGCACTAATAACCAAATTTAGTTTAGTAAACTGTAGATGATACCAGGGATAATGTATCTAATATGAGAGATATAAAACAATATGAACAAAAAAAAAATTTTTTTTTTTGTTTTGTATTATGTGTGTAAAAATAAGTTCATGATCAACATCAGTACGATAATTTTCTGCATATTCATAAACCTTAATTATTACATTGGTTGTAAAATTAAATTTTGTTTTTTCTGTTTTAAAAATTTTAATATTTATTATATGAAATATTATAATGTTACAATCTTTATATAAAAAGATTAGAAATTTGGTCAATTTTAAACGAACATTTTAAAAAAATTATTATATATCGATATTAGGAATAGAATTTTTCACGGAACTCAACGACCCCTGTTAATCTTGCACAAAAGATTTAAAATTTATATTGATGAATCAAAAAAGTTTTCGTGATCATGCAAATAATAAACAAATATTTTAAATTTGCTATATTTGTATTAATTCAAATTACAAATTTTTATTGAAGCGAATATAATGTCTGTCATTAATGAGCCCTTAAAAGATCAAAATATTTATAATTATTATAATCACAATTTATATTGGGCGAATGTAATTTCTGTATAAGGAATAGAACCCTTAAAAAAATTATATAATTATTCTTTCTATTCGTTCAAAAGATGCGAAAAAAAAAACTTAAATTGTTACATTTCTATTAAAGTTAACGTATAAGGAATAGAGGATTCTAATCTCGGAAGAAACTTATACTAAAAAAATTATCGTATGATTCTTATGAATGTACGAAAATAAAGTTTAGGAGATTGATTATTCATTTATCTCTCACGAAAGTCACAGAAATATGTTGAACAAAGTAAATCAGTAAATTTCTCATGAAACACGGAAAGGAGTGAAAATATAAATTAATTAAAATGAATTTCCTTTTTCTGATCGGAATAACATTTTCTGAACAAGAATTGTATTGAGATAATAAACGAACTTTTCATTTGAAACAAAATATTGCATCATTATTTTGAAATAGATTAAATCATGAAACAAAATAAGATTTGTCATGTTACCCCCTTTTACTTGGAGGGGCCCTTTTCGTACAACCAAAATTTATATAAAATTAATCGTTTTCTTCTACCTCATACTGTAGAATCCCATCCCCAAATCCCAAATCCTATTTAATTTATAATACTATTTTTAAGTCTATCTTAATCAATTTCTCACTTACAAAAATAAAATAATTATCATTTGAATCTACGAAGCTAAAGAACTAAATATCATTAAATTATAATCATTAATGATGTTATTGTTCGTTAAAATTTTGTTCAAGGAATGGACTTTATCCCATACCCATATATCTACCACCTTTATGAACGAATATGAAAAATTGACAACAAAAAAAAAGTTGTCTGATGATTCCGTTTCGTTTTCGTTTCATCGTTTACGCTATTCGTAATATGACATTGTCATATTACAATTAGGGCTTTACATCTAGTTATCACCGCCTTTTTTTTTAAAAAAAATAAAAAAAAAAAAAATGTCTTATATTTCCATCCCCTCATAATATGATATTCACATAAACCCATGGATGAAAATTAAAATACCGAGCTCTTGAACTTCAATATTATTAAACCATTTCACCATTACTAAAACAAGCCTCATACACCGGTTATTTGCTATGCTACAACATGAGAAATTCTAAATTCAATAATCACATACTCCAAATTGGCTAACTATCCAAACTGATGATCGCAGTCTGAGTATAAAGTCAGAATCATTTACTTTTTCAGAAATTCAAATATGCTACAAATAACTCCACGTATGTTGTGTACGGCTGTCAATTTACTACGAAATTTATATAGTTCATTAAAAACAAAAAAACTTAAATCGTCTTGCGAAGTTACTTAAATTTTATTTAAAATAAAAGGAAAAAAAAATATATATGAAATTATTAAAAAAAAAAAAATATTAAATTTATTTTCATAAAAGATAAAGAAATTAAACATAAAAATATTTTGTTATAGGGTAAATTTTTTTTTTTTGAGGGTATGTGAAATGTTATATTATGGGGACGGAAACATAAGACAATTTTTTATTGGAATTTATTAAAAAAGCTTATAGTTTTTTGATTATGACAGAAATTATTAATATAATATAGTTCGAAAAATATTAAATAAAAGCGAAATAAAACACAATATGAAAATAATTTTTTAGTCATCTGATACTGATTGTAAATTTACAGAATTATCAATACGTTGATCTTTCATAATTGCAAATTTTAGAATTTGGATGTAATATTCCGCATCATGAATGATATTCTCGATCATGAATTATCATAAGTTAAATTTAGTTTTATTTGTGATTTCGTATAACGTTAAAACTGTTTGATTATGAAATCATATCTTCTTATGTGAATATTGTTAAATTGTTATCATTTTATAAAACTTAGTATTGAATAATCTTCTCCTACGCTGTTAGTTTTTGCCTCAATAACCATTATTTTTGTGATGTATTATTGGTAATTGCCTTAATAAATATTTTCTTCGAAACATAAAAAATTTATATTGTCAATGTAAAACAGCTGTTAATATAAAAAAGAAAGAAGTGAAGAAAAAAAATAAATTTTTTTTGCGGTATGTACTGTTTAATGAAAATTATGAAATCTGTGTAACCAGTTTGTAATCACAATTTTATTAATAATCGCAACGAAATAAAAAAAACTTTATTAAATTTTGTATAAAATTAATGAGATAGCCTGATTTTCTATCGGTTATAATTACTTTTTATTTTTAGACTTTTTTTGCGTAATGAATTGCAAAGCTTTTGGCACTAAAATCTCATCTTCGAACAAATCTCCTGATGCACAGATTTATTTAACTCTTATAAGAAACTAAATCTGAAATTATAAAAGCAATTCAAATAACGGATAACTGAAATCAAGATTTATTCTGATATAGCTTTTTGTGATACTTTAAATAAAAAGGAATGGGAGAAATGATCTTTTATTATTTGGTATTTGTTATTTGCGATAGTACAATTTTATTATTGGATTCAAAGTTGCACTAGAATTCTTTCCATACAGTAGTTCAAATCAAATAATGATCGACTTTTACAAATTTCATCAGTTTGCTTTTGTTGTTTATTACAAATATCACATACTTTTAGTATATAAAGTTACACATTCTTTTTTTCTTTTCAAAAGAAAATAAATAATTAGTTTTACAGAGCCTTAATTTGAGAATTCGATCGAACTTTTTTAAATTAACTATAATGGATTTGAAGTTTACTTGTGTTACAAAATTTGAATCTAATTCGACAATTAAGTTTGTTATTTGAAATTAATTTAATTTGTGTTGCATTTTTTATTTCTTGCTTGATTCTTCATGTTTGTTTGAACGCCTTTTTAGCTTTTTTTGCTTAAAAACAGCAAAGCATTTTCACATTATTTTGACATCGTAATAAATTTTTTTTTTTGAAATTTCCTTTTATTAAACAATATTTGACGGATTATAAGTTTTCAAACAATTGATAATAATATTATGGGTCAACATAAATCCAAAGATAAGAAAATAATACACAACAAGAACTTAATCCTAAGGTCAAAGAAATGTTTCGTATTGAAGAAAGGAGAAGATTTCATAATGATGATGAAATTGTATACATTTTGCAACATTATATTTGGAGATATATATGGAAAAGCAATTCAATTATAATGCTCCCGTAAATAATTTATTAAAATAGAGGATTCTAAGGTTCTTGATTTAGGGAAATATATTATTTTTAACTTAATTTTACTATAAATTAAAGTTGCCAAACCTAATTATTCTTACTCCTGCGGCATATATCAGTTGTAGTGCTGGATCTTGGCTCTTTGAGTTAGCTACAGAATTTTCTTTCATATCATTTACTGAATTCGATATATCTCCTACCCGTAGTCCCGTCAACAATAAAACCTCATAATATTAACTTCGTGGGAGGAAATGTTTTGGAAAGACTTCATTTCGAAGATAATATGTTTAATTTTATTCAACGACTCTTAGTCACTGCGATTCCTCTTGATAAATGGCAAAGTGTAGTAAATGAACTTGTAAAAGTTTTAAAGCATATATTTTAAAAATTATAGTTATCTTTGTTAAATCCTCTGAACCTAACACATTCATTATTTTAGCTTATGAAAGTTGATATATAATTTTAACCACTTGGACTAAGCATGAAACGACTACGCGATGCTTTTAATTAAAAATTTTTTATTTTTTGAAATTAAACAAATTATTTTCAATCAACAATAATAAATGTTCTTTAGTAATGAAATTGATTATTCAAAGCGGAAAGACCCACATATCTAACATCATTCATGGAAGCAAACGGACAACTTAAAGGGATTGTAAGCGAGAAAAAATTTGGTCCTTTTAGCAAAGTGCAGGTCAACTTAATTAATTAACTTGTAAGTACAATCTTCTTATTGTTAGAGGATTACCAATTAATAACTATCATTAATATAATGTTTTGAATATAAGGCTGTCGAGAATCACAAGATTGGGTTTACTGCATGAAATCTGTATTAAGTAAGGTTCTGAATGTCTCTTCAAAATAATATGATGAGCTGGTTAAAGAAATTAAAATATTAAGGCCGGGCCCCTGGCCGGCCATGACCATGAATCTAGTTGAAATAATAAAAAAAAAGTACTACAAAAGTAAACCATGTTTCTTGCAATATTCAATAGCTTGCTTATGTCCGCTACAAGCAGCTGCTCTCATATATTTTACCTAATATTTCATCTTTTTTACCAGCACCACCAGAGAAATATAAAGTAGCAGCATTAAACATACCAACAGCTTGGCCCATTTTCAGCGGCCTTGGTAAAATACATAGCAGCTCCTTTAATATTCCTTTGAACACCTATACCTTTAAATAAACAAACGCCATAATGTATTTGAGCTACAGGGTAATCATCACCTGAATCCGCTGTTTCTTTATATAATTCCGCTACTAATTTATCTTTTGCTGCTTGGTCTAAATTAGTTTTAACTAAATTTTGTTGAATATAGTATCCTTTCATATATTTTGCTTACACATTACCTAATTCTGCATATGCTTCAAAACATTTATAAGCAGATTCGCGGTTTCCATTAGGAAGTTTATTTTGTTTCGTAGCTTGATCTAATGTCAGATAATCAAAATCTGCAAAATTTGGTAAAGTTATCTGAAGTATCCGGCGCAGGATTAATTTTCTTATAAATTTCTTGAAGTGTGGTAAATATCTTTGAAACTTGAGGTCGCCAATTATAATCGTGATGAACAGCTAAGATTTTTTTTATCACAATAAATTTATATAAGCTTAGTATTTAAATATAAAGAGCAAAAGCTTTATTATTTAAATAATAATAATACCTTTTTTTGCGAGTTCCTGGTATTCAATTGGTATAGGAGAATCATTAGAAAATGGTTCGCGATAATTTCTTATGCAAACTTGCTCTTTTACTACCATAATATCAGTACCAAATTTCTCATAAGTAATTTTTTCTTCGGCAATTTCCCAAAGAAGTATACCAAAATCAAATTTATATCCACTTAATTTTTCTGGAGCGCTATATCTTATTTCTTCTATTGCTGGTTTTATATAAGTAATAATAGTACTATCGGATACTGCTCGACTTGATTTAAAATTTGCAATCTTGGCAGTTTCATGATCAGTAATTAAGATATTCTTGGCTCTTATATCACGATGAACGATCTATCGAGACAAGTTTTTCACCAAAAGTAAATACAGGTTAGTTTTAGATAAGAACTTTTCTTAGTGGATGATAATATTCACGTAAATTGCCATAATCAGCCCATTCCGTCATCAAATATAATTTATCTTCATGTGAAGTTAATCCATGAAATTGAATAATAAAATGACATTCTCTCAAATTTTTTAAGATTGTGACTTGACGTTTAAGGATATTTTTATCTAAGTCACTAATAAACTTATCAGCCACCAACCTTAATGCGACATAATCATTCAATCCATGTTTTCTTTTAAATTTTCTTACATTTTGATTTTCTATTGGTTCGCCTTCTTCTTCAAAATTAAATTCAAGTAATTCGCTTTGGAATACATCTGATCTGTTGATGATTGATATCTTATTTGATTCAATGTAGTTTTCAGCACATTAATTTGCACGACCATTTCCAAGAAATTTTGATTCGTGTCAGTGATACCGCTGCCAATATCTTTAAGGTACTATATAAATACGTAAGAGATTTATAAATAAGATTACTTGAATTAAAAAATTAAATTATATCATGCGCTACCTGGAATAAATCTTCGATGTCTGACTTAATGTACTGATCATCTTTGTTAGCACGTAAGCTAATGTCATATTTCCAAGAAAATTGCAGAAGGCATATAGTAGAATCGAATTCATTCATTAATTCTTTTACACGTTTTTCAATACTTTTGGCGCAAATATACTTTGATAATCCTTTTATCTGAGAAATTTCTCCAACGAATTTACAAATTTTATCAATGACTTGAAATAACTTTTGTAAATTATATAAATTTCTTGCTGAAAAAAATAATTCATTTTCATCTCTACGGCTTTTTAAATTTCTTACGGCTGTATCAGCAACTTGGACTCTATCAAACAAAATCCCACATATTTTTTTTTATTATGTTCGGCTGCTAGATATATTTCTACGATTTCATTGAAAACCTAGGTTATTTCTGTTATAAGTGGTAAAAAACCTACAAAAGGTATTGCGTCTTCAATTGGTTTAATAAGATCACGTCATCATCATCAGTATTGATTACTTCTGAAGCCAATTCTCTTTACATCAGTTACATTACCATCATCCGACTGGACATATTCTTGTTTATTAGTGATATCTAATTTATTTATATTGGAATCATAATTTGAAGTTCCTTTGCTTAATTTAGATTCATTACTATAACATTTATTTTCATTAATATTGTCAATACGTGTGTTACTTTGTTTGAGTGAAATTATCGCTTCAAGAGATGAAACAACTTTCTGTATATTTGGACGTTCATTTGGTTCATTTTTCCAACATTCTAATATAAGTAAATTAGTAACTAAAGAAAAAAAAATTTATAAAATTAAATTAAAATTATAAAGTATTCATATGAAATACTGTCAATTATTTTCTCTCATTTTCCACCTATGATATTTAAGGATAAACTCACATCATATTCTAAGCCATAAAATGGTCTATATCCACTTGAAATTTGCCATAAAAGTATTCCAATACTATAGACATCAGACATTTTATTTGATTTGTAACAACTATCCTTTAAACGTTTTAGGTGATGCCAAATATTTTTGATGAATTACTTGAAGTTTCAGTAATTTTTCTTGATAATCCAAAGTCTGCTAATTTAATTTTTTGCTGATGTAATAGTATATTGCCGGCATGCTTTGTATAAATTTGAATTAATAATCAATAATTTTAGCAAAGTCAGAATTAGAAAAATTATTATTACCAGATCACGATGGATAATATTTGATTCATGTAAATATTCTACTTGAAAGTTGCATTGCCAACTGGTATTTGTCATTCCAATTAAGTTCACCGAAATGTTTATTTAAATAATCGTTCAATGTACCGCTATCAGGGTATTCATCTGTAATAAAAAAGCATCTATAAATTAAAAGTAAAAAGTATTAAAGATTCAATAAACACTCACTAGGATTGCCATATAAGATTTTCATGATAATTAACATTCCGATGCAGTTTCAACTGCGTTAAAAATATAAAGCAAGTATTTAATAATGTGAACTTTTCTTTACACATATATAACTACAAAATATTATACCTCTTCCACGATTTCCTTAATGACGAATTGTGAATTATTAAAAGATTTCAAGGCGAAAATTTGTTTCTTTTTCCAACTAATTCGACAAACCTTTCCATATGAACCCTTCCCTATGTAACTTTTATTTTGGAAATCCGAGTAGTTATAAAATTTAATATGATCTTTGACAATCGATTTCTCTAACCAATCAATATGATATTTTAAATCCTTTAAATCGCTATCTTTTGACATTGTTATAATATTTTGAAAAAAAAAAAAAAAAATTTAGTACAAGTTGTACATTATATGATTTGCAATGTTGTACTACATTGTGCACGTCTCATTTTGCAGATCGAACACAATATCTAACACAAAATTTTACTTATCCAACTTAAAAGAATTCATGCGAACTTGAGGCGCGTATAATTTCAGTTCAAAATATATTATAAAACTTACGTTACCAAATATATTTTAACCATTTTTATAATGACAAATTTATTTGTTAAAATATCAAGCTTTATTAAAAAAAAAAATTATGTAATTTATCAATTTAAATTTACATGAATATAATCAATATTTTTAAAGAATATATGCTTGCGCTTAGCCAGATATAAATGAACCTATAACTGTTTCTCCTGGACACCGCGTAGAGGTGGCAAGCTTCGTT